ACGTCATCACGTTGTGCTGCCGCTGCAACGTCATCACGTTGTGCTGCAGCTGCAACGTCATGACGTTGTGCTGCCGCTGCAATGTCATCAAGTTGTGCTGCAGCTGCAACGTCATCATGTTGTGCTGCCGCTGCAACGTCATGACGTTGTGTTGCCGCTGCAAACGTCGTCACGTTGTGCTGCCACTGCAACGTCGTCACGTTGTGTTGCCGTCGTCACGTTGTGCTGCTGCTGCAACGTCATCACGTTGTGCTGCCGCTGCAACGTCATCACGTTGTGTTGCCGCTGCAAACGTCGTTACGTTGTGCTACTGCAACGTCGTCACGCTGTGTTGCCTCTGCAACGTCGTCACGTTGTGCTGCCGCTGCAACGTCGTCACGCTGTGTTGCCTCTGCAACGTCGTCATGTTGTGCTGCCGCTGCAACGTCATCACGTTGTGCTGCAGCTGCAACGTCATGACGTTGTGTTGCCGCTGCAACGTCGTCACGTTGTGCTGCCGCTGCAACGTCATCAAGTTGTGCTGCCACTGCAAACGTCGTCACGTTGTGTTGCCGCTGCAACATCGTCACGTTGTGCTGCCGCTGCAACATCATCACGTTGTGCTGCTGCTGCAACGTCATGACGTTGTGTTGCCGCTGCAACGTCGTCACGTTGTGCTGCCGCTGCAACGTCATCACGTTGTGCTGCCGCTGCAGGCAAAACCACGCCTTTTATATCGGCAAGTTATTTTAATGGAATGACCGATGTCTGATATTGAACTTTAACGCTAAAATCTGCCGATACCATACCGATAATATTGTGCATCCCTAAAAATAAACCAAAGCCAGGGAGTGAGTGCAGTTAACCTCGGGTTAGTTTAGGTTAAGGAGATGAACAGAAGTGAAGGCACCTTAATGTGGGAGCATGCTTCTCACCTGTTTAACTGCATTCCTGGAGTATAGCTGTGCAGCTTCATTACAAAGAACTGGTTTTAAACCAGATCTCTACAAAATCTACGCTGAAGTATCTGGCCACGCCCGACAGCTGCTGCAACAGCTTCCACTCTTCTTGGAAATCTTTCTGTGGGTTTCTGGAGCGCTCTGTTGTTCTGTAGAGCAGTCCACTGATCATGGGCCAGCATTTATTTATTTAGTGTACTTTAAAAATCTGCAGTAGGCTGAAGTTCTGCACATAAAATAGCAAATATAAATCATCCAAGCAAGGACATAAAAACTGAATAAAAACTATGCAAAATTAGTCTAACATAAAAAAAATATCAAACTATAAAGTTTTGCTATGCTGCAAAATTATCAACTTCCCTACAGCGTTTCAAGCTAATGTTTTAAGACTGGGCTTAAAAACATCGATTTGGAGTCAAAGTCTGTCTCGCAGTCTCTGGTCCAGTTCATCCTGAAGGTGCTCGATGAGACGTTCTGTGCAGAACCAATCAAATCGTGTTGTCTACAGTCCTTGTTTGGAGCTCAGCCATGTTGAAATAGATAAGGGTCTTCCCCAAAGTGTTGCCACAATGTTGGAAGCATTACATTGTCCAAAATGTCTCGATATGCTGGAATGTTTTGTCCATCACCGGAGACAAGGGGCAGAACCCCAACACTGACTGAAACCTGAATTTAACAAAGAACAGATACGAACCACGTCTGTACGTGTAGTGTCATGACATAATCTGCAGATTTGTTTTGGTAAAACTTTATTAGACTGTTTTCATTTGTGCTGTTTTTGTGCAGATACAAACACACAAGTGTTGCTACACATAAATACGGGTTTGGTGTGTACTGGTACTTTGGTTTTGGTGCACCTGCCTTCACCCCCACACTTACTTTAAATGGACAATGACCCTCCTTAAACAGCAGTTTCTCATGTATAGTCTCAGGTATAGACTGTGTCATCTGGGAATCAAACAAATAAATAAGTAAACTGTTGCATTCGACCAATTTGATTCATGAAGTGAGTTCATGAAACAAAATGTTTTAAAAACTCCAAAACTGAGAGGTACTTATTTCTTAAAAATAAAAGGTACAAAAATAATTTTTGTTACATATTAGGTGAATTATGACCCATTTTTATTTCCGTATTCTCAGCTGTGATGTTTGGAAAACTTTTACCGCTGACTTGAAACGAACCAGCAGCTCTTGAAGTTCCTGTTTTATCTGAACCATTTGTTTTTGCTTTGCTTTGTTTCAGAGTGCTTCACATCATATCTTCCCTTTTGTATATAAAAGTACCAGCTGTGAAAAAGCCTGTGTCTTCTAGATGAGTCGGGATCCAAATGAACGATGTGTCTTTGTTTTGATTGATAATCGGACCTCGGGGTTTGTACTGTGACTATTCAGTACAAATACACAAACATTACACTTCAAATATGGCACCAAAGTCAGTTTCATTGATTTCCGCTGTTCTGAAATGTCAACATTTCATATCACGTTTTTGTTTCTGTTCAGTCCTATTCAAGATGCAAAAAGTCTTTTTTACTTTGCGTTTATTATTTTGCAGTGCTTCGACGTCCTAAAGTATTTTTTACTCGTTGTTAACTGCTCTGGAGGGATCATGGCTGAGAAATGTTTTAAAATATCTCCATGTTTGTTAGGCCGAGATGCGTCTGATGTTTGGAATATTAATTAGCATCAACCTTTGCTACATTTACAACCATGACTGAGACATGGCTGCTGTTTGCATCCATGGTGAGAGGCTGGGCAGCAGGATTCATGTGTTTGTGATGTTTGTTTTTACTTCCATCCACTGGTGTTTCTTTCTTTTTTTATTTGTGACATTAGATAAGATCTTCATCACTGTTGTTGTTGCAGTCGCATCGGATATGACATATTAAATCAAACATTAAGATGATTTATGACAACATTTAACATCCCAGCAAATAAAACTGATTTATAAATGGCTTTTTGAGATGAAGGGATTTCCTAACCAGCTGGTGCAGAGCACATGATAATACACAAACAGCAGCCGACAGTCTGCTCAGATTATCACCAGAATGTGCTGATCATCCAGAGCGTCGGTTCTGTTCTTCATGTACTGTGACACCGAGGTAGAGGTCCAACATCTCCACTTGTCCTTTCTGCTGCTCACCTCACAAGGAACATTTCAGGAAATTCACTGACTGCTGTTTTTAAGGCTGCAAGTTGGACAGAAGAAATAGATACCTGAGCCATTTTGAAGGTTTCTGGGAAACCCTCATGAACAATATCTTACCTGTCAGTACATGTCATATGAACCCTAACAATCACTGCCTTTAAAACTAAGCAACACATTTGTCAGATGTAGCGGATAAGAACCCACTTTAACAGTTTTTGCTGTAGCCCATCAGTCGTTGATTACTTGTTTATTTTATTTGCAGGGGTGTTGCTGCACAGTTTGTCTCGTCCGTGCCGGATGCTGCTGCTCGTGAACCCACAGAGCGGGAAAGGACAGGCGCTGACGCTGTACAAGAACCACATCCAGCGAATGCTCAATGACGCTGGTGTCATGCACTCTCTGATCATCACTGGTGAGTTTTGGGGTCAAGCGTGTACATCTAGAACATGTGCGTCAAACTCAAGGCGTAGGGGCCAAATGTGGCCCTCGTTGACATTTTATCTGGCCCCCAAGATGTTATTTTAAATGTAAAACACTTTTATCACTTTAATATTTCCAGTAATCTTTAATTATGATGTCAAAAGTGCAACAGAGAATGTCAAATGAGACCAATCAAACTTTTGTTGAGGAACCTGCAACCAAGAAAAGATGTTTGGTATCTGATTTGAGTTCGTGTAGATTCTGAAACCGGTCCTTAGTTTGAAAAAATGTTTTAATTTTGGCCCCTTCTGTAATTGAGTTTGACACTCCTGATCTAGAAGATTTAGTGACATGACCGCACACTTGCACTTGCAGTTCCTAAACAGGCTCATAACTATTTTGCTGTACTTGCTTTACTTCTGTAACATCCATTCCACTTTAGCCTCATGTGCATGCAGCCAACAGATACACGGCCGTCTAAGTTTCTTTAACTCATGCAAAAGCAGAGGCTCGAGAGATAAATGAACAGAAAACTTGGCACACGAATGAGAAAGCACCAGTACAGACACACCCACCTCTTCAACAGTTCCAGACCTCGACACTTCAGCCAGAGTTTCAGCTCAGCTGTGTATGCAGTCCGACCTGTTGAACTCTGCGCCGGGAACTTCAGCCTCAGTTCACTTCATTTAATACGACTGAATCTCTGCCATGAAGTCCTGCTATTTGTACGAACGTCCAGTTTACTCACGATGTATTAAAGAGAGTGAAATGGTTTATCTATAATAGTATGCATGATACAATGAGTAGAGAGCAGGATTTACTAGACCTCAACTGATATGAGACTTGTGGCTATCGCCGATACCGATATTGGGAAGGGAAGGAGACCGCTGATAACCGATATAATGGCTGAATTTTGTTTTGCTTTGTCAACCCTCAAGAATCTAAGAAAACATCGAGGACTTGTTCAGTTAGCGCAACTGTTAGAGACCAAGCTAATCTAAGCTAATCAGCTCCATGCTCTACGTAAACCCACAGTAGGTTTACAAGTGGAGCACTGGTCATAAAAACAGTCTCCTTAACGTTCATTCACATTTTCTATCCTCCACTATTCACCATAAAGTTATCAAGTGTGTTACAAAAATATAAATTAAACAAAGAAACATCCTTCCCTGGGCAGCACAGTGGCACAACTGGTAGAGCTGCTGCATCTCAGTGAGCAGGTCCCTAGTTCAAACCCCGGTCTGGGGGCCTTTCTGGGTGGAGTTTGCATGTTCTCTCCGTGCATGCGTGGGTTTTCTCCGGGCACTCCGGTTTCCTCCCAAAAACATGCATGTTAGGCTGATTGGTAACTTTAAATTGTCCCTAGGTGTGAGTGAGAGAGTGAATGGTTGTTTGTCTCGTTTGTCTCTATGTGTCCCTGTGATGGGCTTGCGACCTGTGCAGGGTGTACCCCGCCCCTCGCACAGTGATTGCTGGACATGGGCACCGGTGACCCCCGTGACCCAAAATGGAAGAAGCGGGTAAAATATAATGGATGGATGGACGTCCTTCCCTGTTCATTGTTTAAACAGTCAGTCATGTATGGTGAAGGCCTAATTAGTAGTGACCACAGCAGTTTTTTTTTCTTTGTAGACAAGTAAAGATTTCAGACAATGCATTTCATTGAGGACAACAAAAATAAAGTTACTAACACTGATATATTTTACCTCTACGTTAGATTTATTGTTCTAGATAAAGTTTAGGTTATCTAAATGTTAGCTTGCTAACTTGAGAGGCACTTAGCTAATGACAAGCAAGTTGGAGGATTGTTGAGAATTTATTATTGTTGATTTTTTTATTTATTTTACAGATCAGTTAAATAAACTTACCATGCTCTGTTTAGCAAAATATGCTTTACAGTATTGCTCCCTGCTTTGGCTGTGCTGAAGGTGAAACTTAAGTGAACGGCCATGACTTGAATGTAGTCTTCATGCTCCCTCTGCTGGATACGTTGTACAATTATAGCTGGTTCCAGCATTTTATGGGTGAAAATTAGAAATACTTATATCGGCGTATAATGGGACAATTATCACCGATGCCCATGTGTCCCCAAACGTCTGTATCGTTCTAAATTATTTGCCCTAACCATATATATCAGTCAGGCTCTAATTTTCAGTCCTGACTTCTTCCCCACAGACAATCATGGTTTTACATGAGCATGAACTAAGTAATTACAGCTAAATGTACTAGATGATTGTTTGAACATACAGCAGCTGTAAATCAATAAGAGTTAAGACCTGGAAAACATGATGTTGGGTGGCGTACAAAGAATGTAACGTAGAGTTCCATCTAAGGCATTTTGAAGAATAAAAATATTACTTTGTTGAAAAGACTAAACATGTAATTCTGCTGAGGGGAGATTTGTTCTGGTGAGGTTTAGTCAGTGTCCGAGAGGGAAGTTAATTCTGTTCTGCTGAGCCATTAGTCAGAGCCATTTGGGAGCGATTAAGCAAAAGAGATTTATTCCAGAAGATTTTCAATTACTGCAACATCAGGGCTTCTGCCAGTGGTCATTCTGTTCCTCTGATGGTAATTCAGTAAATAGTAATGTGTTGTTCAGGATTTATTCGAGTTAAATAACTTCTATCAGAATTTTCTCTTTTCCTGATTTTTGCAGCGTAAGACATTAACACAACAACATTATGTGTAAACATATATGGTTTAAGGGGATTTTGTGAGTGTGTGCGTCTGTGTGCGTTTTACTGCGTGCACACATTTATTATGTAACGGCTCTGCCTTCATGTGGGTCAGAGGCAGTTGATCAGGATAATGATGGTGACAGCAAGAAAACAAGACAAGAGGGTTTATCTGGAGGGGGGGGGGGGTTAGCTGCAGAATGACTGGAGGTGTTTGTGTTGTTACTGTGGACTTTGTGTGTTTGATAATGTGATCATCTGCTGGCCTTAAATGCCATTTTTAATGTGTGGCTGCTGGTGGACCATAGTGCAGTTCGGTGTGAAGGGACCTAACGTTTCTGCAGCAGATTGAAGTGTGTTCATGTTCTGTCCAGTATAGACCAGAAACACTGACGCATGTCTCAGTATTCATGGTTCAGGGCGATGGGAATGGGAAGTTTGCTAAGCAAAGACATTGCGCGTTTCCAGTTAAAATGCGCTCTTTAATGTGTTTGGCAGTGACACGGAGGCAGGATGTTTTACTGATTTTTACGTGTCTCTGGCGTCTGCACAGATTACAGCTGTGTAATCTGTGGGAATGCTAATGTGAATGCTAACAAGAGAGGATGGATTTATTATTGGCATCTTGGCTGGGTGGCAGCTGTGGGAGCTGCCCAGTGGTTGGAGGACGGACGACGGCCGCACAGATTGTTGGCGAATAGAAAAGAAAACGTGTTTGTGTGTGAATAAAGAGAGGACGCTGATGTGACTCCTGGGCAACCCCCCCCCCCCCCCCGACTGCTCAGGCTTCCTATAAGACGTCTGTCAGACAGAATTAATAAAGAACAATGCACAATCCTGCCCAGATGCAGATTTAAAATATTTATCATGAGTTGTAAGTCCTCTGAAACAGCCTCCCTGTGCTGCTCCTTTGTCTGTCCTTTTAATCTATTGTAGCTTACAGATCAGGAAGTGTCTCGTCTCATCTTATAGGGTGTTGTAGTTTATTATATGTAGATGAACAGATGCTGAGATATATTCATCAATTAAAACGGATTCTTTCATTTTTCTGGACTGTATGATGTCGTGCATTGAATTTAACAGAGATGTAACGTGAGACGTTATTTATCTTTGACCCATCAAAATGAATGCGGTCATTTATTTACAGAATCAAAGTTTAACATCAAACATTTACATTAATTTGGCAGAATATGAAAATAACAACATGATTAATCAGCTTTTCATCCAGGAAAACCATACGGCCATGATTTTCCGTTGCTTCACCACAGACATTTCTGAGGACATCTGGATTAATTTGCTAGCAGATAGGAGAGTTTAAAGATGGAAAATTGAGATTTATCTACAGAGAGATGTGTGAGGGAATTTGTCTGTTTTAACCAGAACAGCACGCTCTTTTGGAAATCAGCTTGTCCCAACAGTACACTTTTGGTGAAGGTCGACTTTTACCTTTTCTGAAGATAGATCAGTTCCGGCGTGAAGTCCCACTTCCAGCCACTGTTCAGCGTCTCCATGAGAACAGCTAAAGACCTCGAGAGTCGTGTGAGGTTATCCAAACAGAAGTTATAATTCCCAAAATCGTCTCTGGTTCAGCTTGATTCTAATTCAGCAGCATCCTGAATGCCTGCGTTCTGCATTCTGGAACTCCCAAACTCTCTACAGAGAGATGAACTCCAAAAACTCTCTGTTTGAACTAGGAAGTGCCGACATTTTAATGGGCTCTACTTCCGGTTCGTTTGAGAGCCTCTGATTGGTCGATGGACCCCAACAGAGGTGTGTTTTGTGATGTAAGGTGTTATGGAAAGTCAAGGAAAGAGATTAGGATTGTTTAAGAACAGACAGAAAGATTGTTGGAGAAAACCAGACTTAGTGGCGTCGCTCCACCAAGTATCTCGCTGTAAAAGTTAAACATGACATTTCTTTTCAGTAAACTTTCAGTTGACCGAAACTCGAACTTTGACACACTTACAAATTTGCTCACTTCAAAGCAGACGATCAAGAAATTGAATCATTACTCTGTAACGTACTCTAACTTGATTTCACTTTGAATTGAGGATTAAAAATCATTACTACTGTTTAAGTAAATAAAAATGAGTAGTTCACTTCAACATGTAAACATTGTTGGAACTAACACAATTTGATTATCAAAACATTTGTAAAATAGTAATGATCATAGAGAATTGTCTTTTTCCACTTGATTAATTCAAGAAAGAAAGTCTCAGGATCGATCAACCTGTATTTCTGGATGCAAATCAATGAAATTACAGTTTCTGACCATATGATCCTAAGGTCAAGATTTGACATCAGGTCAAGTTCACTA